CGCCTTTTACAACGGGCTTTGTACTGTGTTTTGTGTTTTCGGTGTGGCCACAGACAATAAAGTGTTGCAACCTTGAGCAGTACCGTGTTTTCGCCATAGCGACGGTTAACGCGTGCCCTGCGGCTCGCTGAGACCGGACCCGCGCTAGTGGCCGTAATCCTTCGGGATACGTGTACACTACATGGTTCAAAAGTGAACTGGAACATAGATAGCGTAGCAATGTTACTGCCTTGACATATGCACACAATCTTGTGCCGATGATGCAAGCTAAGAGCTCTAAATGCAGCAGTGAAACATGTTTCAGTCGGGCCACCCGCCCCTTGCTTATGAGCGTGGACGTATGCGTGGCATGGACGGTGAGCGTGGACGTATGTATATGCATGTACCACAAGCACTGGGACTTGCCTGGCAGAATACATACAGCTGAATTGAAATCGTTGCATCCGCTGCTCCCACGAAAATGTAACGATCAAGAGCATACAGATTCATGCTGGCCAATTCCTTGCGCCAACTGTTCCAGCTCGCTTGTTCTTCTTGTGGAAGGGCAATGTCCCATGCGCATTTCTTCTTCCACAGGTCCTGAAACAGGAGCTTTACTCTAAGCGTAAAAGACCCGAGATATCCCAACTGATCGTAGACTCTGGCTAATGCCTGGAGTACAATGCTTGGTAGATGGCTTGTTTGCCGTGAAGTTACGTGCTTCGCGCACCGTGAGGTTAATTCTTTCTCCTTCACGTTCCCAAGGTACATTTAGGACCCTCATTAGTAGATTCTTTCCAACTTCGTCTTCTATGGTGACCTCACTTCCCAGGAAAAGTTTCCACAAAGCTTGCGAGTTGGAAGCCCACTAACAAGTCCTATGCTTGCTTCCGAGAATATCTTGCACGCTTCATGGTCGACGGTAATAGCACCTACCACTTTGGGAAGACCAAAGATGAGGTCATCAACGTAGAAGGCTTGCTCTAGTAATGCTACAGTCTCCGGGTATCGCCCTCGACACACCACTAGGTGATGGCAAATGGTAGCGGCTAGCGAAAATGGGCTAGGTGAGGCTTTGAAAGGGACCCGTATTATCCTCTATGGCACCACAGATAGAGATGGGTTCGCCTCCGAAGGCAGCTGATCAATCCAGAGAAATCGCAGGAGGTCACAGTCTTCGGGACGAATGAGCATTTGCAAGTATGCCTTTTTTATATCCACAATAAGGACAACCAGGTGACATCGGAAAGCAAGGAGCAACTGCACATTGTCAACTCCAAGTTTCATACCCTTGAGCAGAACATCATTAAGGCAAAAATGGCCAAGCACATGGGTGAAGGCGTCAAACACAACCAGAATTTTCGTCGTGACTGCATCTCGGCGAATGATGAGGCATATAATATACATTTTTCTTTGGCAGTTCTTCGTTGTCAACTCGCGTGGCGTACGCCCTGACTGCCGAGTCATAATGCTTCAGGAGTTCAGGCTGTAGTTTGAACCAGTTTAAATGGGTTAGAGACTGCGCTTAGCTAGGTTTCGACTGTTGCTACCTGAAAGTATACCTGGAGATTTTAACATCAGCAGCACCGGGTAGAAATCGTCTAACCTAATGATGCCCTCTTCTAATGCCTCAAGTTCTGGTGGAGCCTAGTCCTTTACCTCAATAGGTGGCTTCATTCTGATGACGTCGAGACGCCACATCGCTGAAGGATTGCAGTCAGGAAGGAAAGTCTGGCTGCAGTCGAGGAAGAGAGCACTCGTAGGTGAACTTCCTGCTAGCTGAATTGTTTCTTGAATGGTCCAACCGAACTTCATTTCCACCGCCGTAACGCCACTGGTCAAGTGCTCACTTTTTCCAGTAGCCAACTTACAATAGACGTCGGAACCAAGTAAGATGCTAATTTCTTGTGGATTCCACATGTCGGGATGAAAGCTGTCTGCTAAGTCATAATTCTGGTCATACAGAAGCTCCACGACCGGACCAGTGATTGGCAGGCTTGTTACCCTACACACTTCGGGTACCTCCGAGGCCTCCACTGTTACCGCTGTGTATATCTACATTGGCATCGAAGAGGTAATGCTGCACGTCTGCTGCACAATACTTGGCGGGGCTTCGAGTGGCCGACAAAACTAAGGAAAGTTCCACTTTTCTGATGACAGGGCATCTGAGGGCCTTTGAAATATCCACTCGAATGAATGTGAGCTGGCTGCCATTGTCAAGAAGAATGTGCACGAGACGCCATCGTGACCCGCCCTCAACTCATGCTCGACTTGTTTGCAGAAGAACTGCGTTCACTCCGCTCAAAGTGCTTGAGGCAGACGCAATGTAGACGTGGTTGTGTCTCCCCTGGTCATAGGGGGCTCGTCCAGATTCCCGGTTGTCGCGTTGGTACGAGTCGGTCCAGCAGGCTGGAACAATGTCGACGATGGCACTTGCTGCACAGAATGGAGCGAGCATGTCGACTAAACCTTGACTCATGGCTGTTCCTGCCACAGTGGAAGCAGCATCGAGCATAACGTAAGCGAGCCTGTTTCTCGTCCGCTGAGAGCTGGCTGTTACATCTTGTGATGGCATAACGAGAATTATTGCATAAGAGGCAAGCTTCTTCTGTAATTGCAGCAGATTCGGCAGCAAGTGCAGACACCGTTGCCAGATGTCCCGCTGGTTTTTGCGTGTATTGGGCGACATTTTCTTGAGGTGGTAAACATGAGAAGCTTGACACTTGTCATACTGGCCTGCCTTCCTCCCTGACCTCAATTTGAATGCGTGAGAAATTAAGCATTTCAGCAGCCTGGCGAGCTCTCTGTTCAGGTGTCACATAATCAAGACCTGAGCCCTAGTTCAAGAACTCTATGTTTATTTGACCGCTCGTGCCTGAACCTCCTCTTTCTTCTGTTCCGTGTCTCGTTCTTGTTGCTGCATGTTGGCAATCATCAACAAATTTGTGCATTTATTTTCGCATTGAACCTGCATAAAACGGAATCCTCCTCATAACAAATTTCTCTGGAAACTTATCAATTTCATTATATCCAGGTCTAACTGTAGAATAATTTTCTTGTATTCTGTTAATAATACTGTAATTACTCGCATAATTCGCGCACTTTTTTTGCGATTTTGGGGCCCTGAAAAGGGGGTGCACAACTTACACGAGGATTTCGCGAGCGCATACAAAACATTATGCCACAGTCCTAACGTGCGCAGTATATACATTTAAAAAAATAAAATAAATTAGAGCCCAAACGAACTGTACTTGTTAATTTTTAAAGAGTTAGCACCTATTTTAACCCCTCGGATCTGGGGATGCGCAGTATAGCGGGAATCACTGATCGCAAAGTCCGATGAGGAATCATTGTCGTGGCCGCTGCCACCACCCTCCCAAAGCGCATAGTCCTCATTTCCGTTGAGCGCGTTCTAACGGCTCTTTTTCTTGAAGCTCTTTCGACAATGCTGAGAGAAACTAGGTCCCACGACACAGCGATACCACAAGAACTAAGCATCCACACATAATTGAAAAGGCTTCCTTCAGTGGCAGGAAACTTGCATTGGCAAGCGCGCACTCTTCTGCTTTCTCGTGTAGCGATCACACCGGCCGCCACGTTGATCGAAGTACGTCCCCTTGAAGTGCTTTGCAGCGGCACGCTTCCCGTTTTCTTCGGAGAAATTTAAGACAGCAAGCTTCAGTTTCGCCGTGTATATATTTACTCTAGCACATGCCAAGGGAATCGTCAAAACGCGTCGGCCAAATGGCGAAACATCTAAAATCGACCAAGCATGCGTTGCGGCGCTGACGCAGAGATCGAGTGAAATAGTCGGCGCGACAGGTTCTCACACGCTTCTGATGCAGAAAGTCCTCGTTGCAGTGATGGGGGCGTGCATTATTGCGGTGGTAGAAATAGGGAGAGGCAAACGCTCGAGCAGTTCCAGCACGCCGTCAACAGGTGTGCATTCGGGTGCGGTATTCTAAGGACCCTAGTTTGTGGGAAGTCATCGGAAGAAGAGAATTTGCGCTCACAGCCTGTTTGACTGTGCTCGTCTGCTCAGCGAGGTGCGCACCCAGCCGAAGCATCTAAATGTCCAATGGTGCGCGCGCCGGCGAGCAGGCTCGGGCGGGTCGGGGAGCATGAAATATGCGAGTAAATATCTTTTTTCCCAGCTGGCAAAATATTAGGGGTGCCCAAATTATGCACGTGAATACGGTACTTCACTGCATCAGATGTTTCTGTTTGATTTTGTTGTGATAAGAACATTGAGGCATACAAATATGTGAAGAGCTTTTTCGCACTTTTATCTCCTCTCGAACTTCTTGTCATGTGTCTTGAAAACTGAGAGCAGCCTTGAGGGTTTCTTTAGGCAGGATATGGCAAGGAAAATGAGCCCACTTGATAGCTTATGGGCACACCGATGCCCCTGTATAATACAGGATTGTGCACCCTTCACCACGAAAAAGCACACATACTAACAGCTCCAAAAATGAAACACTATGCCCATCTAGCATAGAACATATTGCCACGTTCCTTTTCTCAAGTTTTGTTATCGCCCCAACACACTATGTAATTCTCAGCGCAAACCGTGCCTACAGTCTTCGAGAAGCTTCAGGACTGTAGTAGGTCATTTTTATAACATCACGCCCACTCCGCGAACTACACAAGTTATTCTGGAGAGATTATTCTGATGATCTGTTCGCCGCTATCAGAGCAGGTCTGCTATTGCGATCCGACTTTCCGTTTACCGGGCAGAAGTTCGCCCAAATAAACAGTTTAACCTTCATCGTACTGTCTGCTTCTTTCCTTCATCGTACTGTCTGCTTCTTTGTCAACGTCACGACCCTGTGACAATATTAAGCGAATAATGTGCTGCCATATATAAATCATTGTTAAAAAACCATTTTCTAAGCGGTCAGTGATTCGCCAGTCAAAGAGCCCGTGGATTGCTGGCTGTGGAAGCCAATGGGTCAAAAATGGAAAGGAAAAGATTAGTTACTATGTTACAGCTACAGCTAGTAGGCGTTATGGTGACGCACCAATGTCGAGAATCCTCTGTATGCACTGAGGCGTGACCTTGTTGATGTTGAAGGACCACGAGGTGGACCCCGTACCCGAGCAGATAGTCAAACCCGAGCTCTTGAGCTTCGTCCGTGGCGAGCCATCCACCGAGAGTTCGTAGTAGGACACTCTGCAAGCAAAAGAAAAACTATTAGAGGCAAAGCACCTTAAAGTCTCGGCTGGTTGGCGGGATATAATCATCACGGTACATTATGAATTGGTATGCACCAGAAAAATTGGGCAATACCACTATTTGACACCCACCCATACACATGCTGGTTGTAGTTTAAGGAGAAACAAACCTTTGCTGGGCATTTTCGTCGTCAGACTGCAAATTAACTAGTGTTGTGAGATACTGCCTTGACAATTCTCTGAGTAAATCATGTCACCATTTATTCGGGTCATGCCTTGACTGCTAAAAGGCTAGCCCTGCACAAGAAAGGCTACCTTGATCCTCTCCTGATGTTGGTCACAAATTTTCTGCTCAAAAACCTTCAAGTCGCCAATGAAGTACCGAAACCGCTATGAATGCCCGGAAAAAGTATGGAACCACATCCTACTTACACAAAATTTCCCACAACATAGAAAAAATATGGTATGAGAGAAATCTTTCATTGACCTTGAATAAAGCCAAAGAAGCTTTAGGCTTATGCAAAAGCTGTTCAGCAAGATCAACCACTTAGCACTTATCAATGAGTAGGTGAAGTTCCTTTTCGATATCTAATAAATATGTGCTGTAGCATGTGCAGCTGGTGCCGAAAACTTAATAGTGCACATATATGCTTTTGTTACACAATAAGAGCACGATTGGTACGATGGCGTCGGGTTTATTTAATTTTTTTTTTGTTACTTTACTCCTGTGCAATACAACATATTGCCTGGATTTGTAACCCCAAGCAAGCTCTGCTTAGTTGCCTTTAAATAGGAAACACACGGTGCCTCCCTGTGAAGCTCTCTAATGAATAAATTTGATGTCGTTTGGTGGCTTTTTCATTTTTCTTAATTTGAAAGTAACTTACATGGGCACATGGGCATTGAATAAGTGGGGTGCGACAGATTTTGTATACACCAAGAATATAAACCAATTTGCATAAAATAAGCAAACAATATATGCAAGTGAAACAAAGATGTAGTATAATAAAAAAATGCGATAAAAGGTAAATGATACAAGAACCAGGCATAAAAGCTAACATCAAGAAGTGAAACGGATGTTACATAGTAGTATAACATACTGCATCATAAAACACATAGATAAATACAAGTAATACAATGAATACGATGAAATAATGAAAAAAAAAAAAAAATGGCTGGGGGAGGCAGTGGGAGGGAACTACCACATGAAGCTTATAGCACATGTATTTGCGCAAGCAACTGAATTAATCATTACATTTGATAAGTTTAGAATAAGATGGTGTGCTGATGATATGTGCGTTGAGCCACTGCAGAAATTTCATCAGGTAAGCTTTTCTATAGGCGTATAGCTTCTCGGATTGAAAACATCAAACTCTCCTTGTCTGCGGGCATTGATGAAATCACGTCAAAGTTTCTTAGAAATACTTATTGTATCTCTGCTGCCTATCTATGCTTGTTATTTTCACAATCTCTTGCCACCGCCACCTTACCCGAGGATTGGACAGTGCGAAAGGTCTTTCCGATCTACAAAGCCGGTAACAAAAACTCTCCACTTAACTACCAAGTCATTTCATTAACCAGTGTACCTTGCAAGATCATAGAACACGTCATATACTCTCACATCATGAATCATCTAGACTCGTTCCGGCTCTTTAACCCTTCACAGCATGGTTTCCGCAGAGGTCTATCATGCGAAACCAAACTAGCCATCTTCCTTCACAATTTACACACTAAAATTGACCTCAACGTTCAGACTGATGCCATCTTTTTAGATTATGCCAAAGCATTTGACAAAATAACCCATAAAAGATTAACACTAAAACTTGGCCAGTTAAACATAGATCCCAATATTCTCGAATGAATAAAGGCTTTTCTAACAAGGCGCTCTCAAACTGTTCTTATTCATAGCAAGACATCTTGCCCGCTCCCAGTAACCTCAGGTGTGCCACAAGGATCCGTTCTTGGGCCCCTTCTGTTCTTAATTTATATTAATGATTTGCCTTCAACAGTTTCAGCTAACATCGGAATGTTTGCAGATGACTGCGTCATCTATTCAACTATAAATAACCCTCTCGACCAACATGCTTTACAGACTGATCTTAACCACGTCATAGACTGGTGCCAGGAATGGCGAATGACTCTAAATCCTAGTAAATGTAAATCTGTAACTTTCTCTCGACGTTCTGCTCCCTTTTCTTTTCCGTATTCAATTTTCGGTGTTCGCATCGACATCGTTAATCCGTTTAAATATTTGGGGGTGACCTTATGCAATGACCTACCTTGGTGCACTCATATTACAAATATCATAGCATCTGCCAATAAAACACTAGGATTCCTGAAACGCAACCTTCATCATGCCCCCACGCACGTAAGACTACTAGCCTTCAAATCACTCGTCAGACCGAAACGGTAATACGCATGCGCTATCTGGAGCCCACACCAGTCCTACCTCGCATCTGCCCTGGAATCAGTCCAAAACCGTGCTGCTAAATACATTCATTCTACTTATTATTACCGAGCTAGCGTATCGTCATTGAAAGTGCAATCCGGTTTGTCTAATCTCTGTCTTCGTCGTCATATTGCCATGCCATCTTCATTCCACAAATTTTATTACAGTGATCTCTGCAATCCACCTTACATCGCTCACCTTACGTGCATACCTCATCGCCGCGGACATGAACTGCAAGTGTCACGCCCACGTGCTCGCACACTCACATTTTGCTCTTAATTTTTCCCCCGAGCAGCAACAGAATGAAATGGCCTTTCCCACACCATTGCAGCCATTACTAATCCATCAAACTTCTTAGACAATGTAACAAACTTTCTTACTGAGTGAAGTCAGCTGGCTACACTGTATATTCATTCCTTATGTAATACCCCCTTGAGGGGTCTTTAAGAAAATAAAGTGATGTGACGTGATGTATGGCACGCAGAAGTGCCCAATTGTTGAAGGCGTCAGTGGAACCATAGAAATCAAGATTATTGTGCATTCTTCGCCCTATCTACGTCTATAGATACGAACATCTGAAATTTCCTACGCTGAAACTTTTCGGCGTCCGATTTTTTTGGGCTTTCAGACGACATTCCAGGTATGAAACAAAGTTACTTAAAGTCCCTACCATTGCTACGTCTATCACCTCGTAGGCCCATAACGAACGCTTTCAAAAATTGTTCAGCGTCACAGTAATGTCTGAAAGTCGGCTTTGCCGCAATACAGAAGTGCTATGGGGTGAAGGAGATAAAAAAAATTCGAAGGGGCTGGTACCATCGTGGAGCGACGTGATGTCTAACGAATAAGCACCGAAAATGCTCGAAGGCGTGATGGCAGAGATGAGACTAACACACTAGTAAGACTTAATCGCTTTAGTATTATAAGCATCTTCAGCTGACTGCTTCTTCCTGCATGTGGCGCACTTGCTGCCTTCCTGCATGGACACATGGAAGGCAGCACCGCAAGACACGCTTCGCAACTGCTTTCGCCACGCAGGCTTCGTACTCGACACAGAGGCAGCAGACTTGCCTGAAGAAAGTGACAGCATGACTGACTTGTGCCCTCTCATGGACAATATTATCAACGACCTCCACTCTGCTGGTGCTTCCATGCCCACGAAAATAACTTTTGAGCGGTTCGTCGACGCTGACAACGAGCTCGACTTCTGCGCAGAGCTAACCGACGACGAAATAGTCAGGTTATGGCGGATTCAGATGACTTTGATGTCGAAAAAGAGGAACCAATGCCTGTGCCACCTACAACTGCCGAATTGATGCGAGCATTTATGACGCTGTCATCGGTGTACAGTGATGATATGACCCTTGCTCAGATCGAGGCAAATGTGATCACATGCAAGCGGAACGCCGTTCAAACAAGGATCAACAAGTTTTTCAAGCCACTGCAACTCTAACACCGGCTCCACAGCCTAGCGCCCACACGACATCAACCGCCGAAATGGCCGATCGACAATCAGGAAGACTTGGACTTGCCCCAGCATGTCTCTAAAGTGCTTTCGTTGGGACTGAAGTTTGCGGTGGAGCCTAAGCGTTCCCCGCACGACCTTTTGGCTACCGTACGACAAGTCTCTCGGCGTGCTCCACCAGAGGAGCAAGACCGCTGCATAGCGGACGGCATAGATGTCCTAAGTCAGTGTAAGGCCAGCCTTTCGACTCTTCGAGTAAAACGTGTCGTACATTTTATGAAGGAGCATCCATTATGTGTGTTACCTGCTGATAAGGAGGGTGGCTTTGCTGTAATGTCCCATAAAAAGTACCGGGAAAAAGCTTGTCGCACGGTTTCGGCCCTTTTTAACCGTCATGCTGAAGTGTCGACGAAAAAGCTCAAAAGTAAAGCTAAGAGCCTGCTTCGCAAGTTAAACCTTGTAAGTGTTCTTAAGAATATGTCAGATGCCAAAAAAAGATTTCCTTGAAGCCTTCTTCAGCTCGAAAATGCATAAGGTCGACATGCCTTTTAGGCTGATTGTGGCTAATGGCGCCTCAAAATTCCAGACCCAGTCTGGCGTCAGCGTCAGTGGGTTTTTAGACCTTTTAAGGTTTTACCTTCAGTCGACGTACATCCTAAGGGATGGAAAACCTCACCTTCAAAAATCCGGTATCTGTATTGGTTCTTGCATCGCTCCCATCATCAGTGACCTGTTTTTAGGCAAATTAGACAGATCCATTTCGGAAGTTTTCACTAACACTAATGTGACGCACGTTTTCAGATACGTAGATGATTTTTTAATTTTTATGGAGACTGATGTTGCATCGTATAAGAATGACGCTCTTACAGTTTTAGACCTGATGCGAAATGGTTTTAAACATTTTGAGCTTACTCATGAACTTTCTGAAGATTGAGAAATCAGGTTCCTTGACTTTAAGCTTTTCTTGAATAGTGGGCGCACTTGCTGGATGTATCAACTACGTGGAAATAAGCCTGTTTTGCCATTTCATTCCGCACATTCTAAGTTAAGCGAGGTATTGCAAAACCTTGCTTCGTGAATGCCTTGCGAAAATCCTGCACAAGATTACAGAAAGCTTTGTTGAGCAATCTTCAAGGCTGACGTCGGCTTGTTACCCCGACCACGTGCAAGTTTCCGTTGCCGAAGGCCTGCTGCGTGAACTTAAGGCCAAAGGGACAGATAATGCAGTCCCACCTGTCACAGCTAGACAGGCTTTCGCCGGGGTTCCATATATTGTGCACAATAGGATAAGATTGTGCACAAGATAGCGCACAATCTTAAGAAAGTGGCACAGCGAGTTAATGTGAAGGTGGTCTTTGGCCCCTAAAAAAAATTGAGTCGCCTGTGCAAGCTGTCCGTTCCTCCGTCCAGACCCACCCTCGGTTGCACTACAAAACATGCAAATAAATTCAGAGATTGCATCTGTAATGTGGTGTATGAGCTGCTGTTATCGTGTGGAAGGTATTACGTCGGTCAAACAGGTCGTTGTATAAATGAGAGGCTGAGGGAACATATGTACAATGTTGATCACTATAAACAAGGATGGCTGTCCGTTCACTGCGGCACGTGTGGCTGCCAGCCAATATTTTCAGAGTGTTCTATTGTTGCTAGATGCAGGGATCGTACCACACGCGAGATCATAGAGGCAGAAAAGATTTGCTCATCGAAAGATGCTTGTGTTAGCACCCCTTCTGTCGCGCTCACCGATAAGGAAAAGTTGTTCCTTTGCCCGTCAATGTGATGTACTAATGCATTGTCATTGTGTTTCGCGTATGACTAGTGCGACTGGTAACTGTATAAAAGCGAATACCTTCACAAGAAATAAATTGTTGGCAGTTCAGCGCTCTGTCTTGTCTCTTCTCCTGTCCCTTCCTGCCCTGTCATTTGCGCTGGTAAGCAACCTTTTATGATGAAGAGCAAGTTACAATCGAAGCGAGGGCAGTTGGTGTTACGATATTGCGGAAATTGTCATGATCTTTTCTGGGGGACAAGCGATTTTTTTTTTCCGGTTTTCCAGAAACCTGCAACGCGATGGCGACCAATGGCCCTTCGCGACAGCAAACCCTGTTGCCATCGCTCGAAAATCGCGTGCATGCGGACAGCTCTTAAAGTTTCATATTTGCAGGAAGTGACCGTCGGTTGGCGCGAGCAGTTTGTGACCTTCGTTTGCTGTGTGCTTGTCAGCTGCCACGTCTCCACACTTGCACTCTTCATGGACCCCGCTGTGGCGCACGAATAATAAAAAGCCAGGGGATGTGCCCCAGGCAGCTAGGAAGAACAATACGACGCGCAGCAGCGAACGATAGGGTGCGAGCCGAGATGGCCGAAGTGGGCCGGCAAAATAATAATAAAAAACGCAGCATATCCACGGAGTGAATGATGATGAGTATGGCAAAGCATGCGTCCGTCTGTCGTCCGGACATGTGTTCGTCCATCCGTCTGTCCGTGCATCCATCCGCCTGTTTGTCTATCTGTTTTTCAGTCTGTCTGTCTGATACTGTCGGTTACGCCTGACACAAGACAATGTTAGACAAAGAGGAGCTTCGCCCCTAAAAACGGAAGAGATCCAACAGGCAAGGAGGCCCCAGGTGTTTGTAAGCGGGGTGCAGCGGATGAATGAATATAGGGGGCGCATTTATTACGCGGGAGAAAAAAACAAAAAACAGATGTATACGACAGAAGTTGGGGGTGCGTTTATTTTGCGAGCACATTCATTCCGCAAGTAAATACAGTAATTTCTGGTGCAGTAAAACTTCGCTGGCAGTGGTGCAGAGCTTTTTACAGCGTTGCTATGAGACTGAGAAACAAACATCACAGCAAAATCAGATATGCTTCCCTGAGTAGCATTTATGAGAACTTAACCTGAATGATCGGTTCAAAACACTATTTCGAAGTCCCCACAAGTTTGAATTATTGAGGATCTACTGTCGTTGCATGTCAGACACAAGTACTTTTTTGGGAGATCTATCTGCAAGAACAGACTTTTGATCCGTACACTTTATTGCAATCAGCCAAGGTGGTAAGTCCTGCTACTAGCTTTCGAGTGTACGAAGAGGAGACACACGATTAAGCAAATGGCGCTTTGTGCATGTCTAATCATGTTCCTCTTGTGTCCGAGTAGCATTCTTGCAACATGCCCAAAGTTGCAAGAATGTGCATTCTAACGGCAAACCAAACCTCATGCTGCTTCCACTTCACTTCAAATCAAAAGACGACATTCATGATAGCCTTGTTATAATTCTTAAAAATATTGTGCAGCTCAGTTGGACCATCACAAAAATGCTCGTTTTTCTTTATGACATCGCATTACAATACTTGAACATTTGTATTCCCCCCAAATCATTCGAACAATTCACTATTCACTTCAATATCACTTTGAACTTCAACTTTACTGCCTGTAGATTCCTTGACACAAGTGCAGACTGACAGCTGGTGTACTCCAAACAACCACAGAATATACAAATATACAGAAACTCTGGAAGTTTCACCAAAATTGGTTGAAAAAAAAACATGTGTATGGTAAGATTTGGCAATCTTTAAGTCGATTGGGCCACCATTTTCGATTGGGTGAAACATGAATTTGCAATGGCAGATCAGTGATCAATACCATATCCACTCAATTGTAATGCAACCATCATTTTGATGTGAGGGATGACTTTCTGGGAAGAAAAAATAATAATAACAAAAAAGAATTGTGTGCATCAATGCATGCATAAAACATTGGGCAGAAAGATGAAAGATAGCATAGAAATTCAAGAAGGAACTAAGGACTGTGTAGCATGCGATGAAATGGAAAATGATAAGCATAACACTTTAGAGATTGGAACACAGCAGAACGATTTTGTGAAATTTGTGGCACAACACGAACACATGAATAAAATTGAGTGAGTCTCCAGCTTTGCTTTTAAGAGTTGACCCAACAATGTGGTCTGCACGCACACACTATCCCCCCTTCCGAATCGCTATCCCGCCTTGACTTCTTGGTAAAGGCCTAAATTATACAGCAAGGTAACCCAAAGTGCAAACGCCCCCCGATTCCTATGTTTATTTGCATTTATCTCCAATTTTCGCTTACGGCCACTACTGCATTTTCGCTGAAAACCGATGATGCCACCATCAACACCAGAATTTCTGCGAGACAAGCTCTTTAATGCTTTAAGAAAGACAACAAAAGCAGGTAAACAACCACTCACCGCGAAGAGAGAGACTCGCCAACAAACACCTCGTTGAGCGACCGAACGGGGAGCATGTGCACGGCGTCGCCCAATGAGTGCTGCGTGGCCCCGTCGTCCGCGGTGGGCTTTCGGTGCTGCTCCTGCCAGCAGTCGAGGAAGCGGTACTCGGGGTACTGCAACTGCTGGTCATGAAGCTCCACTGGTGCATCAAACGCATGCTCGCCTTTGAGGGTCACCCGCAGCCGCTGTCGCCACATCCACCTGCAAGAGACGCAGAATGTGAACAACAGTTTGTTCTGCAACTAACGTAGCCACGTACAATAAGGCTAAAATCGTCGATGCTGACACCACTGCTAAGATTACCAACAGCAAACATCTGCATATGTCCCTGTCAGAATACACAGTGTGTTGCTAGTGCTTTCATTTTTTTTTTTTTTTGTTTCCTGGGCGCAAGTCTGGCTAAAAAAAAAAAGTTTTTATTTAAGAGCCTGACAATTTTCTCCTAAACCGTGATGGCCTTGCGACAATATTGATATTGATCAAAAAAGAATACTTGATAGCATGGCAAGAAAAGGATTCACAATTGCCAACCAGCTTCTAGACTGTTCCAGTTGTACAATAAATAGGGTGTAAACAGCAGTTAGAGCAAAAGACGAGGACCGTTGTTTGTGCTCGTGATAACTTCGATTTGGATCACTGATCGCTTTACCTGTGTTCGCTCTTTAATAAACTCGTCACGGACTCAACACTGAACGCATACTAGCACAGTATATATGCATGCCTAGTTCAATTAACAATGGGAAATCGTGCTCACAAAAACTAAATAAGAACAGTGAATATAAGGACAAGCCGGAGTGTATACAGCAGGCATTCCTAAATCGTGACGAGCAAATGAGGACCGTCCCTAACGGTAAAAGTGTACATTCATTGCACACCGACTACATAAACACATACAACTTCCAAGTAGCAATTAAGGACTGTGCAGAGTACAATGGAAAATGAGCATAACTCTTTAAGGATTGGAAAAATTGGTGGCACGACACAGGAAGAAAAAAAATTTGGCAAGCCTTAAGAAAGGACTTGGCAATGAAAATTATCTATGTTATCTATGATGAAAATGGGATGAAATTCGGCATGCAGAAGTCATTTGTTGTGCTGATGTCATAACTGAAATCGGTTTTGAGGTATCTAATATAACCTTTGAGATTGATTAATTGATTTGATTGATATGTGGGGTTTAACGTCCCAAAACCACCATATGATTATGAGAGACGCCGTAGTGGCGGACTCCGGAAATTTAGACCGCTTGGGGTTCTTTTAACGTGCACCCAAATCTGAGTACACGGGCCTACAACATTTCTGCCTCCATCGGAAAGCAGCCGCCACAGCCGGGATTTGATCCCGCGACCTTCGGATCAGCAACCGAGTACCTTAGGCACTAGACCACCGTGACGGGGCGAAACTTTTGAGCTACAACACTTGATAGACTCTCATTGTCATCCCAAAATTAATTAGCTAATTAGACACAAGTTTGTCAAAATCTTTGCATAAGGATATTAAGAAGGGTCCCTTTTGTGCCCCAATGCTATTGGTTTATTTTTAATATTTAAGTAAGCACACAAATTTTTTTCTGAAATGTCCTGGATGTATTTTCTTACCAACAAATTTTACAAAAAGCCAATTACAAAAGTCTGTATGATATGCACACAAATATGGACAGCTCTACAGCACTCACCAATGTCTCAGAATATAAGTGGAGAAAACTGAATTGCTGTAGCTTAATTTGTTGTGAAATGTTACAGAGATGACTGACAGCAACTGCCCAAAAAATGAAAGCCAAGAAAATGGAGCTCAAAGAAATTGGAGCAGGCAGCTGATAAAACGGAACTCGAAAGAAAGCTGGCTTTATTTTCATTGGAGAAATGCATCTTTGTGGCTAACTTGAGCTTCAATCTGTCCTCTTTATGATGATACCAGTATGGTAGCACTTTGCCAAGGGAAAATTGCAAATTTGCATTTTGCTATGCTTAATCTTCACATAGCTTTTGACGACAGCCTACCAGTAAAATGCTTGTTTCTCAACTTCAACTACTTATTTTGATCTAAAATCACACAATGATGTAAAACACACGTCTCAGGATTACAGAAAGAAATTAATCAAAAAACTGAAGATTTTGACCAAATTAATAATTCCCATTGCCACGTCCCCCTTAAGCTTTGCTTTTAGGAGTTAAGCCCGACAATGTTGTCTGCACGCACACACTATCCCCTTCCCAATCACTAGCTCCCCTTGGCTTCTCGACCTGAACTGCACGCCAAGGAAACCTTAAGTGCAAACGCTCCTATGTTTATTTATGTCTACCTTTAACTCATGGCCAATGTTGCTTTGTCGCTCAAAACCAACGTCATAACTCACACCAGAATCTCAGTGGAACAAGCTCTTTGGCACTAACACTTTCAAAGGAAGACAACAAAATCAGGTGTGAGCAAAAACGTATTCAAATTTGCTAAAACACTAAATACAAAATTTCCTAAATTTCAAAGTATATCTCAAAAAATATATATACAGAAGTGATGAAAAGTTCTTAAACCGTGGTGCCATATGATTTCACGGATTAGCAGCCTGGAGACTTTTGCTCCGTACACTTTATTGCAATCAGCCAAGGTGGTAAGTCCTGCTACTAGCTTTCGAGTGTACGAAGAGGAGAGACACGATTAAGCAAATGGCGCTTTGTGCATGTCTAATCATGTTCCTCTTGTGTCCGAGTAGCATTCTTGCAACATGCCCAAAGTTGCAAGAATGTGCATTGTAACGGCAAACCAAACCTCATGCTGCTTCCACTTCACTTCAAACCAAAAGACGACATTCATGATAGCCTTGTTATAATTCTTAAAAATATTGTGCAGCTCAGTTGGACCATCACAAAAATGCTCGTTTTTCTTTATGACATCGCATTACAATACTTGAACATTTGTATTCGCCCCAAATCATTCGAACAATTCACTATTCACTTCAATATCATTTTGAACTTCAACTTTACTGCCTGTAGATTCCTTGACACAAGTGCAGACTGACAGCTGGTGTACTCCAAACAACCACAGAATATACAAATATACAGAAACTCTGGAAGTTTCATTAAAATTGGTTGAAAAAAAAACTTGTGTATGGTAAGATTTGGCAATCTTTAAGTGGATTGGGCCACCATTTTCGATTTGGTGAAACATGAATTTGCAATGGCTATATTGACAATGTGGAGCCATAATTGAGCTATCTGAACTCTTGACAATGGCACGGTTCTCCAAAAGATGAATGTTAGGTCAGTGCTCCAGCTGCTAAAGCATTTTTTACCTTACCACACACGTTTTTTTCCCCAATCAACTTTCACACACAGCTGCTAATGAACATGCACACAATCACAATGCTTCATATGACAGGCAGTGCTGGACTGCGGTGCCGTCTTTTAATTCTTGGTACGGATCGTCCAGCTCCCTTCACATTATAGACAATTGATTGCAAATTCGCTCGGCTTGCTGCCTGCTTTAAAGGGTGAGTAAACAGCCATGAGGTCTAAAGATTGTAATGAAGAGAAATTTGTGCACTTTTGCTATGTGAACATGCTGCTGCAAGAATTTCGCGAATACAGCGGAACTCCAATTGTACTACTTTCAAGAGACCATGCAAAACCGTCGTATAAAAAAAAAAAAAACTAAGATTATAGGGAGTAACATTCAGCCTTGCCCCCCTCCCTCCCTACCAAAAAAAAACAAAAAAAAACAGGTACACACAGGTTAAATAAGCCCACGACATGACCTTGTGCTTCTGCAAAGAAAAAGAAGGTAGATTAAATTATTCTTCCCAGTGGTACTTAGCTGAAGAAGGGGCAAGCCCATCTTTATTCTCAATCATTAAAAAAAATCTAAGGCACATTTTTCTATCTATAAATGGAGTCCGAAAATCGCACTCCGATGAGAAAAAAAACGAAATTGCGTTGCAAACAGCCTCCCGTCAGAAGAGACAGACATACCATGTTTATACGCATAATTTGCACCCTCACTTAATTTGCGCAGCTCTAAGACTTTGCCGGCTTTACGAAAGAAAATTTTACTCACATATTTTACGCTCCGGCTCACCAGCGCACGCACGAAGAGACTTTGGACCTTTGGATGCATTGAACGGTCGCGCCTTGCCGAGCAGGCAAATGCAATCAATTGGCTGCAAGTGCGAAGCCCCTTCTTCCGAGGACTTTCCCCAAATTAGGGTCCCTAGAACACCGTACTCGCCAGAACTGCTCGAGCATCTGCCTCCCCCCCCCCCCTTCTGTGATCGCTAACACGATAATGTATGCTCGCATCACGACACGGACAAATTTCTGCACTGGAGGCATGCGAGCACCTGTCGCGACAACTGTTCTCCTGCGTCCGCCCTGCAACGCACGGTTGGTTGATTTTGGAAATTTGTGTTTTGCCATTCGTCTGTCGCATTTATATTCTTTTCTTGCGATGCCCTACAGCAATTATATTTATATGGCAAAATTCAAGCTCGCTGTTATGAAGTTTGCCTAAGAAAACTGAAACCGTGCTACTGCCAAGCACTTCAGCGTGAACTTCAACGTGTGACGATCGGCGCGATCGGTACAGGAGAAAGCAGAGTGCGCGCTTGCTAATACAAGTTTTCTGCCGTTGAAGAAGTCTTTTTCAATTATATGCAAACGCTTAAGTTCTTTGGTATCGCCGTGTCGTGGGACCTAGTTTTCCCAGCGTTGTCATGATCAAGAAAATGGGGCATTCGAACGCGCTCGAGAGAACCAAGGATGACGCACTTTTGAAAAGCGGTGACAGCGGCAGCGACGATGATTCTCAATCAAAACTTAACTTTCGATCATTGATTCTGACTAGCCTGCACGTGACCGGATCTGACTGGTTAAAGTACGTTCTAATTTTGTTTAATTAACAAGAACACTTTGTTTGTCATTGCTATCGAAAAATGGCAACATATTAAGAGTTTACATGAAAAGCCTTGTGCGTGTTGCAATTTGTTCCCTTGTGAAGTGCAACCGGTGGTTTGTCGCTCTAAATATGAACGCTTGTGTCCAGTGAAAATAATTTTACATGGTGAAAACAACTACGTCGCGCCCTTATGTGTGTGCAAGCCTGAGACTGTGAGTGCGACAAATGCAGGAGATCAGCTGTATGACAACCAGGAAGTTTCCACAGACCGAAAACATGAAACTATCAGCCTCAAAAGCCTGCTGAAGCTATTC